TGCTCAACATCACTCATCATCAGGGAAATAACAAATAAAAATTAAAATGAGATAGCAGCTCACACCTGTCAGAATGGCTAAAATTGACAACACAGAAAACAACAGATGTTGGCAAGGATGTGGAGAAAGGGTCACCCTTTATATATATACATATATATAAATATATAAATATATATATGTATATATATACCCTTTTAACAGTTACAACCTTTTAACATTTACATGAGGCTTCACACCTTTCTGTAATTCAAACCCTTCCATAAACCTAACATCTCCTCCTAATAAGTCCCACCGACTCCAACCCATTCTCCCACAACTGACTTCCAAAGAAAATGATATGTATTTAGGGTACTCAGTGAATAACACCAAAGTAATACCAGTGTATCTTCCTGACAACAGCAGTTTTGGGGACTTTAGGGCCAGTGAAGCCACAGGGAAGCTGAGCTACAGTTTTGTATCATGAATCATTATCAAAATTCTGAGCTCAATTCTGATTACAAAATGCTTATTACTGTGATGTTACAACAACCCCAAAAGAACACAGCTGGATTCTCAGATGACAGGTTGATCTTAAAATTTCTGACTGAAGACAACCTAATTTTGTGGTAATAAATTGTGCAAATTTGATGGGGACATCACTGTAATAGGATACATGTGGAACCTCACTAGATTATTATTACTTTTTTCTGGCAGTAACACTCACTTTATGATTAGAATTTAGCAGCATATGGAGACCCCCTATAGGGAAACCTCTCTACACAGAAACTTTCTGGTATTTGATTAGCTTAATTTATTGAAAGTTTAGCTTTTTGTTTTATGGTAAACAGCAGCATTAAAACCCTACAGTTTGTTCCCTGTCTACATTTCCAGTTTTAACTCTTTACTTAACTTTTTCAAATTCACACTTCAGTCAAGGTATTCTGCTTACTGCCCTCTGGCCCTGGGTTGTATTTTCCTTATTTTGTTCTGTTTTTTCTCCTCTCCTGAGCCCTTTGAGAGCCAGGTTAACATCCTGACTCTTCTTCCTTGTTCAGCCTCTATGGTTTGAAGTGATTCTCACTCCTCTGAATACTTATAATAAATTATGAGAAATTTTTGTAATGGTAACACACTTAATAAACATGTGATCTATTATTATGACACTGAGTATCTCATAATTGTACTGGCAACTTTTTTTTGTTTATGAACTTTTATTCACCTTTTGTTTCATGAGACCCCAAGATACCCTCAGCTATAATGATTTCCTAGAAGAACTTATAGAATTCAGAAAAACTGTTATATTCGTGGTACAATTTATTACAGTGAAAGGATATAGATTAAAATCAGCAAAAAACAAAAGATGGATAGTACAAAGTCCAAGAGAAACCAGGCACAAGCTTCCAGTTACCTTCTCCTATTGGAGTGTCACAGACAATACTTAATTCTTCCAGGAAAAATGTGTGACAACATCTACAACGTATTATTAACCAGAGATGCTCTCTAGAATCTTGGGATCCTAGGTTTTTATTGGGAGTCACTCATGTAGCAACTCTATGCTTATGTGACTGACCTATTTACTCTCCAACCCTCTCCACTGTCACGAGAGGTCAAACTAATATAGCATGGCTGAGGAAGGATGAAAACATGCATTCACCATAAATTTCACTATTAGCATAAACCATCTCCTGTGTTCCAAGATCTCAGGTATACAAAGATACTCCTTTCAGGCATGATATTCCAAGGACTCAGAGATTGTCTCCCAGGAACTAGTTGAGTGCCATTTCCTTCTGGGGTATGCAGGATTTGAGGACAACAAGCCCACTAAGTTAACTCTCTATTATACACCTCATTTGGTGATATTCAGCTGTCTAGACATACTTCATGATTCTTAGGTGTCAGTGTAGAGCAGAATCAACATTTTCTCCTTTTTATTTAGTTATTACTCAATAAATATTTGAATTTTTGCATCATTATATATCTTCTATTCATTATAGTTCAAATACCAAATATACCATTCAGCTCTTGTTAATAGCTTTTCTCTGAAGAGTAACATAAAAAATGTCAATTCTTGGCCAAATTCTCCTCTTTATCACAATGACATATTTCCATTGATATTTCATCTAAGATCATACAACTAGACCTGCAGCTGGCGTGATATTTTTCAATGTGAAGTGGGGAAATGGAATGCGTACAGTGCCCACTTACATTATAAAACTAGAAGAAATAAATGTGAAACCTGAGTTGTTTCTATGAGACCTGATGAGTTCCCCATCTACTTTGAATAAGGGACTTATGGGGAAATGTTGCCTATTTTTTTTTGTTTTTATTTTTGTTCTCACTTTACTACATTTCTTATGCTGTGCCTTTTACCCCTATGAAATATTCATTCCATAACTAGATGCCTGTATCACCCACTTCCCTTCACCTATTTTGCCCATTTGAAATTTGTGTCAAATGGGAATTTGTTAAAAAAATTTTTCACTCATTATAAGCAGCCATGATTAATATTCTTAAAACAAGAAAAAAATTAATGGAATGACCAGCTTTTAGGGAAACAAATATGATTTAGCTAAGAATACTATTATTAAAGAATATCAAACCAGCTTCAAAGCTGGAGAGTTTCTGGGGTGAAAAGCAGAATAATATCATAATAAGAGTGACTGATTATCAGGACTTCTGATGATAGGGACAATGTTGTATGTTTGCCACATCTGTATGAAGCCCATATTTTCCAGCTGTCCTGGCAGTTAAGTTGAGGTTATTTGATTAATTCTTTTGCATGAAATCTAAAAAATCACTTTCAGACCCAGGCCATTAAAAGTGAGTAGAGGCTAAGTGTAATTGGTTAAAAATGGAGGTCCTGGGGCGCCTGGGTGGCTCAGTGGGTTAAAGCCTCTGCTTTTGGCTCAGGTCATGATCCCAGGGTGCTGGGATCGAGCCCCACTTCGGGCTCTCTGCTCTGCGGGGAGCCTGCTTCCTCCTCTCTCTCTGCCTGCCTCTCTGCCTACTTGTGATCTCTCTCTGTCAAATAAATAAATAAAATCTTTAAAAAAATTTTTAATGCTTAACAAATAGCATACAAGATGATCTGTGGTCTCCTAGACATCACTGTCCACTCCTTTCTACATCTCCTGTGCATCACAAATAAGAGGTCAAAACTATGTTTTCCAGAATACCTAACAATCTGAGTCGATTTTGATGATGAGAAGCACGTAGGCTAGATTTGGAAGGTTGAAGAGAAGCCAAGCATCTCTGCTAGCAATGTGAGCAGATGGACAAACTCTAGAGAAACATCCTCTTTGAGACCCCAGATGGAATACTTAAAGTAATATCCATTTTTCTGATTGGAACCAATATAGACAGTATTGGTAATATTAGTAAAGATTTTCTTGGAACTGCTTACAATAATGGATTAAGAACAAAAAATTAAAGCCTATTAAAAGATTAAAACATTTTTGACCCTTTCTCTTGAAATTCATTTCAAACAATACTCCAGAGATTTTGAGGGGCACTTGAGTGGTTCAGTTGGTTGAGCATCTGCCTTTAGTTCAAGTAATGATCCCAGGGACCTGGGATTGAGCCCCACATTGGGCTTCCTGCTCAGTGGGGAGCCTGCTTCTCCCTCTGCCTATCATTTCCACTGCTTGTGCTATCTCTGCCAAATAAATAAATAAAATCTAAAAAAAAAAAAAGAAATTTTATTTGATTGTCATTTAATTCCCTTTTAATGCCACATAATGTTCTTTTTCTTTCTCTTTAGGCCCAGTGTTATTTTGGTACTAGTGTATGGGCTTCTAAAATGAAGCTGGAAAATTTAAATTTTCTGTTACAAATTGTATTTGGCCTGTCTTTACCAATTCTGAAAGGTGCCTTAGCAGAGACAGAATACCAAAGAGACATTTTTAAAATAGTTGCACAAGGTCCCTTAGATCTACAAATTAAGATCTTAAAAACATGTACTGAACACCTATACTGCTTGTGCTGTCTAGAAACTCAAAATTTAGCATGAAAAATGCAAGTGTGTAAATGTAGAAAATAATAAAACATATTTAAATAACATTTTAAGACAACAGTAGATGACATATTGCAAAGTAATGGAGAATTCACTACTTACATTATTTACCAGAAGACTCAGAAACACTGTGGGACCCTTCCATGAACACTTTCTCTGCCTTGCTGTTTGCTTTAAATATTCTATGTCTTGTCTTTAAAAGTTCTGCTCAATGTCTTGGTATAGGGTACTAGCTGAGCCCATCATGCTAAAAGATGCAAAATCAGCCAGGCTCATAGCAGGATTTGTTAGTTAATGATATGATGAGCTTTGTTGTGACTAACTTACCTCTCTTTCTATACCTTGTTATGAAGGTATATTAAAGGATCTCTAATTCTTATTTCAGCTGTTAATTATAGGCAAAGACTGAATAGGTAAGAAACTTCAATTATCAACATAGAAGGAAATTAACCTGTTTGCTTAGTTTGGGTGTTAAATATTGCAAAAGAAACCAAGATTGAGGAAACATGATTCCCCATGGAAATATTTCCAACTGGTGTGAGATGTTACTAAGGAAAGTTCTTCAGGTTTGACAATGGGCTGTATATCAATGATAAATTAAGTCAAACCTGTTCAAGACAGAGAAACCACCTACCTATTAAAATCCTCTCTCATAGTTCCTCTTTTACCTTTAACACTTCTATTTGGGACTTTGTACTGAGTGAGCCTTGGCTTTAGGCTCAGAAATTCACTCATTAGTAGACTGCAGAAATCTCTCTCAGTGCATTACAGGCTGAGAGAAAGGATTGAATTAAAAGAGAAGGTAAACAAAGAAGGTCACAAAGCCTGCCCTGATTACTCCTATTCACCTGATCTTCTTTTATCCATACACTCAAGGCATTTTATATCTATTATATGTCATTTATCCTTTTTAAGATTTAATGGTATGGAGTATATTTATTCACTGAGTGTAAGGACAAACACTAAAGTTTCTTGAGTTTTTCTTCAGTTTTGTATTCCTCCCACCTACTAGTTCCATCCTTAAGTCAAACTTCAAAATTTCAGATTCAGGAAGGAGGGAATTTGGCTTGCTTCCAATCTTCTGGGTCTCATCACCTGGAAAATAAATAATTAAAATGATTTGCAATTCACTCTCCTCAATTAACAGGGGACATCTCCAGGAAAGAAAAGATGACCTGGTCAAATATCCTCATAAATGTGGTAAGGCTAATGACTCCCAGAAAACAAACAAATGGTATTTGTTAGCCATATAGTCCTCATGGATAGCAATATGTACCTGTTATAAAATTATTTTTTAATTTAGAAATGCCTAGAATCTATGGATTTATAGACAGCTTCCTGGAAAAATGTCACATAAACTACGTAACTATTTGAGTTTAAAATAGAGATGTTTTAGAACCCAAACAGCTCTTCCTCCATAATTAACTACACACTTCATTCGAGACTTCATATATTAATCAGGGAACATCCTGCTGCAGAGAGGGGAAAAAAAAAAAAGGAAGGACCCAGTAAGTTGCACTATTTCAGATCTTTCCTTCCTTCCCCTATGTCTCCTGATTGTGTCCCTGAAATCCTTATTAAAACTTGTTCCTAGGGGCACCTGGGTGGCTCAGTGGGTTAAAGCCTCTGCCTTTGGCTCAGGTCATGATCTCAGGGTCCTGGGATCGAGCCCCACATCGGGTTCTCTGCTCAGTGGGGAGCCTGCTTCCTCCTCTCTCTCTCTGCCTGCCTCTCTGCTTACTTATGATCTCTCTCTGTCAAATAAATAAATAAATAAAATCTTAAAAAAAAAAAAAAAACTTGTTCCTAGTCCAAATTTCTCATTTGTGTGTCTGATTTTGGTAATCCTATTTTTTTTAAATTTTCAGTTATCCACTGTATAGTACATCATTAGTTTTTCATGTATTGTTCAATGATTCATTAGTTATGCATAATACCCAGTGCACATCACAACATGTGCCCTCTTTAACACCCATCACCCCCTGACCCCACTCCCTTTCCTTCTGAGATCCTCAAGATCATTTCCTAGGGTCTATAATATCTCATGGTTCATCTCCCTCTCAGATAATCCTATTCTTTGAATTATCTCACCATCCAATCATACTTACTACTTATCTGCCTTAAAAGCCCTGCCTTAAAAAGAAGTGTTCTACTTAGTTCTTGAGACTCGGTCCCTGCTCTGTATCCCAGCTCTGCTAAGCAGCTCTTCCCTAGCTTCTGTCTTCTGAAACATTCTCTTGATAAACTTAAGGATTTCAGAATTTGTAGGACCAATTTCTACATTTTTAATGACAATTTCTACCACAGATTTGAATTTTGTCCCACAACGTGGCACAATGACCATAGATTTTGTGTTTGTGGAAAGATGTGATTGATTTGGATTATGTGCTTGACTTTAAGAATATCACCCACTCCTGGGCTCTTGTCATCTTTATATCACATGTTGTAACTGCAATGGATCCAAGCTGAATCCTCTATAAGACTCTGCAAAACTGTAGATTCTATGTTCTGCTGTCTTTTTAACAACTGTGGCTGGCCTTCTTCCCACCTAGATTGTAGGAGTAATTCCAAGATCAGCCTTCCTTAATTTGACTGCCATGCCCTTATGTGTGACAGGTACTGTAACTTACAATTCATTTATATCCTACTTAGTCCACAGGACACATAATAGATACTCAGTAATTTTTTGTAGATACAGAGAGGAGAAAGAACCCACATAATGACTACAGATTATTTATACTCACTATGCACCAGGCACAGTGTGAGGAATATTACTGTATATAATTTCAGCTTTCCCAAAAATACACTGAAAAAAAAAACCCATCATTTTAGTGATGCAGAACATGAAACTTAGAAAAATTAACTTTGTTTAAGGCTTTCTAGCTAGTAGAGCTGAGATAGAGAGATAGGCCTTTCCTGGTTCAAAACCTATCCTAGTCCATGATACCACAGTGCCTCTTTTTGCATACTTTCTTTAATTATCCTCCAGTTTTTTTCCAGGAGCTAAGGTAAAGTAAAGGAACTTAATCAACTGAACATTGAATTCAACAGAAACAAGCAAAAATCTGATTTAGGGTATGAAGAAAATGGCACAAAAATCCAGGGACTTAGCCGCAACAGAAGAAGGAAAATCACGTGACAGAAATAACTTCATATTAATTTATTTCCTATTTCATTTAAATTCCTTCCAGAGAGGTTCTTATCATTATTCCCATTGCTTTGTTTCCTCTTTACTGTTTTCTAATACATAATGAAAAATTCAATTTAGTCATGGGCTACATGGTTTTCATTTGGAGGGTCCAAATTGGAAGAAGTCACATAGCTCTAGACCTATCCTTGAAAAATTACTTACAATTATTTACACTGCAATTCTGTCAATAATAGTTTTTCACACTTATATGCAGAACCTAATTCAGAGGCTCCTCAAGCAAGAAGTTCTATTTTTACATTTAACCCTTGAAGAGAAAGCATACTTAGCAGAAACATCTTTAAAAATGAACATGGAAATGTACTGATCATTAATCAAACAAGAATATCTACCTTTTAAGGCAGATGAATGTAAAAACCAACTTATGCCAACCCTTCTGGGGTCTTTGGATAATCTCAGTTGATTTCTTGAGTCACCATACAATACATTTGGGCACTAGATCTTAACATCCTGTGTAACATCTGTATTTTAGTGCCCAGGAAATATGCATTAGGTGTTTTAATAACTGTCTCTTAACAAATGTTTGTCAACTAAACAGAAAACATCTCTGCCTCTGGAAGAGGAAAGGAAAAGGCTGGAATAGTGAGAGGGAAAAGAAAGGTAACCAACAACCTTTTATAATTCCTCCTTTTTCTACATTCCTGTAACAACTATTAGAATTCTTTATCCAATGAACATTTATTTCATACCAACTATGTGTTCAGAGGGGAATAGGAGATTATATGAGAGACATTATCTCTGTTTTGAAACTTATGGCATATTGGAAAGATAGCAAATAACAAATATTAAAGACAAAAAGTCCTACACAGGAAAAGAAGAGAATCCCATGAGATCATCTAACAAACAAACCTAACCTAACATGGACAGTGTGGAAAGGCATCTATTAGAAAGTAATACCTAAGTTTAAAAAAAGAGTAGAAATTATCCAGACTTCAAAATTTGGTAGGAAGGCTGAAAGAAGATATAAAAATATCTAAGTAACTTTTGAATTTTGTAAACAGTTTAACTACATATCCTTAATCCAAAGAAAATAAAAATTGAAACAAATATTAAACCTTTCTTAGATTTGTTTTTAGAAGTATAACAATTCTGAAACTTTTTTGTATGTACTGTAGACGAGAACAACAAAAAATTTTTAAAAAGAGAACAATTAAATAAGCACATTGATGTGAGGATCCCAGGATCTCACTGCAAAAGGAAATATAAATGGAATAGGGTAATAAAGAAAGAGCTCTATGGAATGGGACTGAAATAGGAAGTATCAGTATATAAATGTGTGTGTGTGTTTGTGTGTGTGTTAATAGGGGGTGAGAATGTGTTTTCTAGATTTCTTTGCCAAAGGAAACAATGAAATCTATCAGCAAGGGGCACAACTAGCATACAAGTCTCTATTTCTAAATATCTTTCCACACGAAAAGCATCCAAACATCCTTGGAAAACAAGGAAGTGCTCCAAAAAATGGGGGCATGATAAACCAGGAACCACTTTAAAGAAGCCCTCACTGGCCACATCTAGAGCGATTTAAACAATGAAACTAAAGACAATAACTCACTGAATAAAAAAAAGAATCCATGACTCCATAATGCTGCTCAGATAGATAGATAAATGATAGATAGACAGATAGACAGATGATATAGGTAGATAGGATAGATATAGATAGATGAATGAGAAGGAAAAGTTCCTTAGGTAGACTACCAGCTAACGGGAACAATGGAGTTAGAAAATTATGATTTTTACATTAATAATATATACAAAAAATTGATTCAGACAGAATTAAATACTGCTAAATATAAAGATTTTGAAGGTATAGCTAACTGAAAAGAGCAAGAAGCAGCACAGGATCTTGCATCTGGTAAAATTTTTATATATTTGTAAATATGAAAATATGTATTTATAAAATTTAAAGTTATCTGTCAAAAGAAAATCCTCCAAAAGAACCACTTGGTTTTCATCCATGAGCTGACACAGAAGGAATGTGTCTCTCTTCACATGCCACACTTCAGTGCAATCCCAATTGCCAAGTACCAAGCATGACCATTTGTTCTGTTACACAATATAGGCACAGAGCCCAGGGCCTCTGAGCTTTTCAAGGGCTTACCAAACACTAGAGACATGAAAAATATACATGCATCAGTTTCAAAATATGAAAAGGAGCAAGTCTAAATCTATAAACATTTAAATATTTAAATAAATTATACATGTCAATTTCATTCTTAGAATTTGCAAACCTTGTCTTTATATTAGAAAATAATTTTTAGGTTAGACTTCTTATTTCATTAATAATTTCCTAATATATATTATTATTGTGAAGAAATATAAACTGATTTTATTTAAATAAATTATTTAAAACTCTTACTGTCTTCTACCACTTTCTGTAGAGTTGTACATGCAATGATATATCAATTAAGCCAGGTGAGGTAGCATGGATGAATGAACATTTCAGTCATGCACAGCTAAGTCAGTAGAGAATACAATGTCTTTAGCAGCCAAGAATTTTCCAAGCAGGCAGGCCCCAATTTAACCCCCAATTTTAATATACTCTCCCAAATTATTACCCTTATCCTTTGCTGCATAAAGTCCCTCCAAAAGCCCAAGATCTCCAGATTGGAAAAGGGGAGGTTCCTGTTATTTCACCTTTGATTATTAATTATCTAATTATTAATTTTTTTATTTTCATTTTAATTTCTTGCTATAATAACATTATCATGATACAGGATTTAGTTACTAAGGTAGCAAGAAAGGTCATTGTGTAGCTTATTCTTAATTAAACCTTTTCCTCCATTTAGTCAAAATTCAGCTGTGTTCTTGGTTCACCCTTACTGTGATAGCAAAAACACTACAGTTTTCAGTTTCCTTCTTATTTTGTGTGCTGTTAACAGATTTTTAT